TACATTACAGTTTAACACATATTCAAAATGGAAAACTCTTATTTTAATTTGCAATGATATATCACAAAATTATAGTTTTTTTCTGTATTTTTGATTAAATAGATGCCAGCCTTGATGAGCAGAAGAAACAAAAAGCATTATACTGATCCCAAACTTTTGAACGGCAGTGTATATTCAAATGTTTTAAATTTGTATTTTAAAAGCATAATTCAAAATGTAAACTTTTTTTTTTTTTTTTTTATCAAATTCACTTGTTTTTTTTATTTCAGTGCAAAAGTACAACAGCAACAAATCTAAATCAGAAATCTTGGTGATGTTCTCTCTCACCTGACCGAAGTCCCAGCTGGTGTTGGTGATGTATTCATCCACTCCCTTATACAGCATTCCCTGCTCGTTCATGACAAACTCCTGCCGCTCCGCGTCACTCGCCAGAAACACCCCGTCATCTGCAGAGACCAGAGCGGGGCCCTAGGGCTGAGTATCCCTTCAATTTTATTGATTCTGATTCTTATCGATTCCCAGTCTCCAATGTGGTTAAAGTCAATCATTTAGATATCAAGCACATTTATTCTGTGTTTCTTTTTGCAAAATATTTAATTGCTGCTGAATACCATGAACAACAATCAGCCGGCTGCATAAAAACTGGACTCGATTAAGAGCTGTTTGTGTGCAAAAATAGAGCCGCACGATTCTGGAGAAATTGAGACTTTTTTTTTTTTATGGAGGTTGTAGTTCTCTCACAATTCTGAAGAAAAAATATTAGACAACTAAACTAAATCTGATGGAATTTCTGAATGAATGATTCAATGACTCACTCAAGATTTACTTGATTCATTACAGGATGATTCAGTGCTTTTGAATGAATCTCTTGAATGAATGATTCAATGACTCACTCAAGATTGACTTGATTCATTACTGGATGAATCAGTGTTTTTGAATGAATTTCGCCACCTAAAAAAAAAAGATGCACACACAGGAATTGATGGGTGGAATTGAGATCTTAATTTTACAACAAGTCTCTGATTCTGTAATTGGAATTGATTCTCGATTCCCAACCCTACGAGACACTGATGAGGACCATCTCAGATCGTACCTTTGCTCCAGGGGTTGAAGAGCACGGTCAGGGCGCTCACGCTCGCGCAGGCTCCGCTCCTCACACTCAGAGAGTAGAGGCCGATGCAGGCGTCTGAGGGACACAGAACAGACAGCGTGACAGCAGACGGCGAGCTGCACAACACCACAACACTCCAGTGTTTACTGATGCTTGAGTCTGTGCTGCAGCCCTTCTGTTCACACGCTCCAGGACCTGACAGAGACACACACACCTTACTGAGGCTTCAGTGTTATATACATGTACAGCAGGACTGGATAGTGTGAGGTTAAACTGCCAATCAACAGTCTCTTCTGCTCACAGAGGCTGCGTTTATTTGATCAAAAATACAGTCAAAATTATGAAATATTATTAGAATGTAATACATCTGTGTTCTCTGTGAATATGTGTTAAACTGTAATGTATTTCTGTGATGCGCAGCTGTATTTTCAGCATCATTCCTCCAGTCTTCAGTGTCACATGATCTTCAGAAATCAGTATAATATGCTGATCTGCTGCTCCAGAAACATTTCTGATTATTATCAGTGTTGAAAACAGTTGTGCTGCACAATATTTTTGTGTAAACGGTGCTACATTTTATTTCTCAGGATTCACAGATGAACAGAAAGTTCAGAAGAACAGCATTTATTTGAAACTGAAATCTACTGTAACACTATAAATGTATTTACTGGCACTTTTGAGCAAATTAATGCATCCTTGATGAATAATGAATGAATGATTCAATGACTCACTCAAGATTGACTTGATTCATTACTGGATGAATCAGTGTTTTTGAATGAATTTCGCCACCTAAAAAAAAAAGATGCACACACAGGAATTGATGGGTGGAATTGAGATCTTAATTTTACAACAAGTCTCTGATTCTGTAATTGGAATTGATTCTCGATTCCCAACCCTACGAGACACTGATGAGGACCATCTCAGATCGTACCTTTGCTCCAGGGGTTGAAGAGCACGGTCAGGGCGCTCACGCTCGCGCAGGCTCCGCTCCTCACACTCAGAGAGTAGAGGCCGATGCAGGCGTCTGAGGGACACAGAACAGACAGCGTGACAGCAGACGGCGAGCTGCACAACACCACAACACTCCAGTGTTTACTGATGCTTGAGTCTGTGCTGCAGCCCTTCTGTTCACACGCTCCAGGACCTGACAGAGACACACACACCTTACTGAGGCTTCAATGTTATATACATGTACAGCAGGACTGGATAGTGTGAGGTTAAACTGCCAATCAACAGTCTCTTCTGCTCACAGAGGCTGCGTTTATTTGATCAAAAATACAGTCAAAATTATGAAATATTATTAGAATGTAAAACATCTGTGTTCTCTGTGAATATCTGTTAAACTGTAATGTATGTCTGTGATGCGCAGCTGTATTTTCAGCATCATTCCTCCAGTCTTCAGTGTCACATGATCTTCAGAAATCAGTATAATATGCTGATCTGCTGCTCAAGAAACATTTCTGATTATTATCAGTGTTGAAAACAGTTGTGCTGCACAATATTTTTGTGTAAACGGTGCTACATTTTATTTCTCAGGATTCACAGATGAACAGAAAGTTCAGAAGAACAGCATTTATTTGAAACTGAAATCTACTGTAACACTATCAATGTATTTACTGGCACTTTTGAGCAAATTAATGCATCCTTGATGAATAAACGTATTAAACGTAAAATAATTACATTTTTAGTAAGAGTTTTATTTTGATTGTTTTTAAGTTATTTACTTTTAATTTTAAATTATGATTAAAAACCTTTCAATTTTTAAAGATGTATTTTAATTTGACATTTTTAGTATTTAGTTTATTTTTTAATAGGTTTTTCTTGATTTACTTTTAATAAATTGTAATGAAATAAAATTTAATACTTTAGGATAATTCATTTTAGTTTGACATTTTTATGATTTAATTATTAGTGTTTTGTTTTTATTTTAAAGTTGTTTACTTTTAATTGACAATAGATTTTTTTTTAAAGACTTAATTTGACATTTTTATTATTTAATTAATTTTAAGTTTTTTTTTTTATTGTTTGTATTTTTAAATTATTTACTTCTAATAATGATTGGTAAATAATAACTAATTAGTAAATAAAATAATAGTATTTTATTGGGCAGCACAACATTACACTCTAAAAAATGCTGAGTTGTTTCAACCAAATCTTGGGTCAAATATGGACTAACCCAACTGTTGGGTTAAATTTTGGTTACATTTTTAAATTAACTTTTTAACCCAACAGTTGTTACAATGTTACACTGAAGACTGGAGGAATGATGCTGAAAATACAGCTGCGCATCACAGAAATACATTACAGTTCAACAGATATTCACTTAGAATACAGCTGTTTTACATTCTAATAATATTTCACATTTTTGACTATATTTTTGATCAAATAAATGTTAGTGCTGTGACTGTAACGAGTGTTTTTGTTACCAGTCTCCGCAGTGATCTCGATGTCGTTGTGATCTAAACGCTCAGCGCTCAGGATCAGACTGAAGGCTTGTCCTCTGCGGATGATCAGCCGCTCCACCGTGATCTCATTAGTGTGATGATCGGTGTTGTTCTTCACACACTGCAGATCCACCTTCATCACAGCTGCTGGAAACACACGGTTACTTCACTACACAACTAGTCCAGCAGGTTTATTCCAGAGTTCTTTGCGATTAGATAAATGACATTGTGACACACGCTGACAAATCATATTTCATCAGAACTAAAGATCAGGTGTGGTCGATCTGATGAATGAAGAGCAGATCAGAAACACTGATTCCATGAGGTTTGGTTCAGATGCTTGCACTGAGAATATAAGAGCTGGACGGATCAACTCTAAACTCACACTAACATGCAGAAATCATCTGAAGATGCTCTTCACAGCGATGCCATAGACGAACCATTTCTGGTTCCACAAAGAAGCATTCAGTCAAAGAAGCATCTCTTTCTGAGCTTTTTAGAATCGGAAGAACCTTCTTTCGCCACAAAGAAGCTTTTGTGAAACCGAAAGGTTTTTTAGACTCTTTATGGAACCATTCAGCTGTCAGTGTCACCCGTGATGAATCAAACTTTATAGTGATTTTAACCACTAAGATACTAACAGAAATACAACTGAAGAGTAAAATCAAGAGTCTAAACTCTGTGAAAAAGCCAGTCTTATAGAGCACAGATCAAAAACTAATGAAAGGTGTAGTGTAGTCTATCATGAATGATCCTAAACATCTACTAGTGTGCTAATATTCACAGAAATTGAAAATCTGAATATAGATTGAATATAGTTTGACTCACCCTGATCTCGGCTGACAGAGTTCCTGCTCCTCAGATTCTCACTCATGCTCATCTCGTCAGATGTGTGTGTGTGTGTGTGTGTGTGTGAGGAGCTTTATAAGAGCCGATCCCCATCGCCTCCCACGAGACAGAACACTGAGCAATGAATCCACCCGTCAGAAAGCTCTCAGTTATTCATGCGTAACTCCTCCAGCGGTGTGGAAATACAGTCATCATCTCAGTTATGATGCTGTTACATCACTGCTGTTCAAGAGACGAGACATGTTTTTATCAGCTCTCATTCTGACGGCACCCATTCACTGCAGAGCATCCATTGCTGAGACACTGATGCAGTGCTACATTTCTACAAACCTGATGAAGAAACACACTCATCCTGATCTCAGATGAACTGAGGATGAGCACATTTACAGTGAATGTTCATTTTTGGGTTTCCTTTAATTGGTGTTTATGAATTTCTCAGTGTTTTTATGCAAAAAAAACAAACCACGCCATACAGCGTTTATAAACAGAAAGCTGTTGTATGAGCAGTTCCATCATTATCATTATGCCATAATCTCCTCATTAGTATATGCGGATTACTGTAATTAGGACAGTGACAGATACAGACTGTAGTGTGCATGACGTTTATTACCACAATGTTTGATACAGTTCAAGTCTTTAACGTAACAACACATGCTCTAGTTAACAGGATTTTCACATCATCTTTCTCCTTTAGACACAGAAATGTTCAGGATCAATAAATATCCTCAGCAGTCATTGATTTTATATTCAGTCCCGCGTCAGTGATTGTCATTTTAGGCACTTGTGGGGAACGACAGAAATGAAATCATGTGCGAGCACAAATTAAATCGGGATGCAGTGCGTCACAGCTGAGAAATCACAGAGATGCTTTCGTTTTCTTATTGCTTGAACAGAGAGCGAGCGCTGAGCTTCATCTTCCTCCTTTGGCTGACTGACTCGCAGCAGGTGTGTCTCTACACGTGAATGATGATGAAGCCTGGATGATGATGATGATGTAAACTGTGCGTTTCACTCCCTGGTGTGCGTGTAATGCTCAGCGTCTCGCCGTCATGTGATCGGATCTCGGAGACGTTGTGCTCGCGGATGAGGTCCTGGAGCGCTTCGCTCCCGTCTGAAGCTCAGTAGCGGCTCCGGCGGCTCATGGTGAGCGGCAGCGTGACCGACGACAGCGAGGACACCTCCCAGTACAGACTGCGTGATAGGAAGAGACGATACAGAACCACCACTGAGATGGACTGGCACAGGATCACGCCAATCGTCACCACCTGCAGAGCGAGACAGAGACCAGACGAGACGCTCGTGAGACAGAGCTCTGCTGCTGCTGCTTTTGACACACAGTGCTGGCCACAATCATTAGAACACTAGTATTGTGACTTTGCTGTGTAGGAAATATCAGTTTACATTTCTAAACATTCATTTTGGCCATTAACTGTAATAATGCAGTGAGATGTTAGTGCTGCACACAGAGCTCTGATCTGATCTTCATCAGTCTGTCTGGAGTCACATGAAGAAACAGAACACACTGAGACAGACTCAATCCAGAAGAACTGATGCTTGAAGAAACCTCCTGCGAAGCTCCTGAGAAACTCTGCTCAAGTGCACCGAGGGCAAACGCTGCTTTAAACACAAAGATGCTCACACCAAATGTTGGTTTCATTCAGTTAATAGAAGTTAACTGATAAAGAAAATCTATTTTTGACAGCATCCTCATTTCACAGCATTTTTACACAAGTGCCTCAAACTGTTAACAGCACTGTAGCTTTGCAGGAGGTTTCTTGAAGCATCAGTTCTTCTGGATTGAGTCGGTCTCAGTTTGTTCTGTTTCTTCATGTGACTCCAGACAGACTGATGAAGATCAGATCAGAGCTCTGTGTGCAGCACTAACATCTCACTGCATTATTACAATTAATGGCCAAAATGAATGTTTGGAAATGTAAACTGATATTTCCTCCCGACACACTACAGCAAAAGATAGAAATAACTGACTTAAAACCATTTCTTACCTGGTGGAAATACTACTGTTCTAATCATTTTGGCCACCACTGTATAAGAGGTCATTGTGCTATTTAAACATACTGTATGTTTCAGAACTCAAAACTTTGTTGTTAGTCTAAAAACAGCTTACATTGAAGGCAGTCTGCCAAAACCACGGCTTGTGGAATGTGACACTCTATGATGTAATAGTGTGGATAAACCCCGCCTCCACAGAAGATGATCAACACCTGCTTCTATATTACTCCCTGTTTAGCCCCGCCCACCAATTCTACATCGCTGTCTCTTTAACCCCACCCACCGGCTCTACATTGCTGTCTCTTTAACCCCACCCACCGGCTCTACATTGCTGTCTGTTTAGCCCCGCCCACCGGTTCTACATCACTGTGTTTAGCCCCGCCCACCGGTTCTACATCGCTGTGTTTAGCCCCGCCCACCAGTATATCGGGATTCAATTACAAACAAAGAACAATTCAATGCAGGATTTTCAGAAAGACTGAAACTAAAAGAGGACGCTGTGTGACTATATTGAATCCGACAGTAACGTCACAACACAAGTGTGAGTAACTGTTTCCGTTACGTGATCACTATTGCTTTGTGTGTTGAACATATCGTTTGATATGTATTGAGTTATTTATGTGTTTTTGACCAAAATCACAGCAGCGCCCATCTGAGAGGAATGTACGCGGTCAAACACACACAACTGTCAGCCAATCACAGCAGTGTTTACTTCCGAGTCTACAATCCTCCTCGTCTATTCAAACAGAGCGTTCTGATGAGGGGTCAAAACAGCACAGAAAATAGCCTATTACTTCTAAATGATGATGTTTTTGATGTAAAAATCTTTATTACATCAGAGAGCAGTACAAAATAAAAACAGAGGCAGCTCATGACCCCTTTAATGGAGGTTTGTTTCTCTCTTACCTTTTCTTTCTGGTGTTCGTTGAGAATCACAGAGAACAGGACCAGCACCGGATGACACAGGAACCACAGAAAACAGCCCTGAAACCACACACAGTGCCACTTAAGTGTTCATGGGAAGCAGACGGGAACAAACTCTGGTTTAGGCTGCATTCTGTCCGGTTTTTAAACACTGTCCGTCTACCAGCACACGCTTCAGCTGGACACTCATTTGTCCTCCTTTTAAGATCTTTACTGTTTTATACTCTATCCAGTGTTATATCACTAATAAATAAACAGATTAAAACACAGGCCAAGTTTGAGCTAATATTAAGTGACATTTTAAACAGAACATTGACTGTTTTTGCTCCAAAATAGTTGAGAGTCACAGCAGAACGTTTGAGTCTCCAGTCAACACTGGTGCTTCGTTACTCAATGATTCAACAAATGATTCAGTGACTCGTTCATAAAGACTTGATTCAGTTCTGAATGAATCAGCCGTTTGAACAAATCAGTTGAATGAATAAGACAGTGACTTGTTGCCATCTACTGGTGGTTTTGGGTTCAAATTTCATACGTCTGTATTCTATATATAATGTATTAAAAACATTAATCTTATAATATTATTTATGCAGTCTGTGTGAATAGACCTAAAACAAATCAGTTGAATGAATAAGACAGTGACTTGTTGCCATCTACTGGTGGTTTTGGGTTCAAATTTAGTTAGTTATTTTTTTCCCCTAACATTTCATACGTCTGTATTCTATATATAATGTATTAAAAACATTAATCTTATAATATTATTTATGCAGTCTGTGTGAATAGACCTAAATGCCACTTCAGATGCTGCTTCTGCAGTGCAAAGACGGATTTTATCTTGATTTGATTGCCCTATAATGTCTAACTATTCTAATTGCACTTATATAAATAAAAAAATTAAAAATATAAATGAAAGAGACTCTTTTAAAAATGTTAGAAATGTTGCAGAAAAAATGCCCCTGGAAATCAATTTAAATATCACCCCTTAAAGGAAACGTTTCTGTCATTGCATATTTTTAAAGTCATAGTTCACCCAAAAATCATTTACTCGTCATCATGCTGTACCTGTTTGTTTCTTCTGTTGAACACAAAATAAGATGTATTGAAGAATGTGTGAAGCCAAACAGTTGCTGGTAGCCAGTATTTTTTTTCCATACAATGGAAGTCAATGGGTACCGTCAACTCTTTGGTTTCCCACATTCTTCAAAATACATTCTTTTATGTTCAAAAGAATAAAGAAACTCAAAGAGGTTTGGAACAACATGAGGGTGAGTAAATGATGATACAATTATAACTTTTTTCACTGTATCCTGCAGAATGTCCTTCTCTGTGTTGTGCTGCGTGTACCTTGCCGAAGCTCAGGTAGAAGTCTCGTTTGAGCGCGCTCCGCTCGGCGGAGATGATCTGATACAGCACCGACGCCAGGAGCAGAGCGAGCGCCACACGCAGCGCCATCAGCAGGCAGCCGGGAACACTGCGCGGAGCGTGAAAACTGTGGTGCTCCGATTCCTCCAGCTGCTCCCAGATCAGCAGCGCCCCCTGCAGACACAGCATGAGGGAATATAGATGCAGTTAATGAGCCAGTTTATGCACACTCTTGAGTGCTTTACTCATTCAGCAGGTGCTTTTATCCAAACGAATGCATCAGTGATTGTGAGGTGGCTGATGCTCAGTGAGTTTTATATTTCTTATTTTATTATACGTGTATTTCATGTGTGTTGTGTTTGTGTGGCTGACCTGAGCGATGACGGCGGCCAGAGCGAGCGCGGTGGAGGTCGGAGACGAGTCCCACTGCAGCGGTTTACTCTGAGACTTTCTGCTGCGGCTCAGAGACCAGCCCACACACAGACTCAGCAGCAGGTAGAGCATCTGCACCTGCGCCACCACGTCACACACTGACACACACACACACACACACAGATACACACACACATAGACACACACACACACACACACACAGATACACACACACACATAGACACACACACACAGACACACACACACATAGACACACACACAGACACACACACACATAGACACACACACACACAGATACACACACACAGATACATAGACACACACACAGATACACACACACAGATACACACACACATAGACACACACACAGACACACGCTTTTTAACCAAAGCATCTTACAGTGAATTCAAGGTACACATTCGACCAGTTCATGGGTCAAAGACGAAGCATCTGCATCAAATCAAATTTACAAAGTGATTTTATATACACAAAAAGCATGCAAGTCAAGCGAATTTAATATTTCCAATAACTTTTGTGAAAATGTCAAAATATGGGTGAAATAATGTTGCATCGTCATTCAGCATAACAGATATATGTGACCCTGGAGCACAAAACCAGTCATAAGGATCAATTTTTAGAAATTGAGATGTATGCATCATCTGAAAGCTGAATAAATAGCTTTCCATTGATGTATGGTTTGTTAGGATAGCACAATATTTGAAAATCTGGAATCTGAGGGTGCAAAAAAATCTAAATATTGAGAAAATCATCTTTAAAGTTGTTCAGATGAAGTTCTTAGCAATGCATATTACTAATCAAACATTAAGTTTTGATATATTTACAGTAGGATTATTTACAGTAGGACATTTACTAAATATCTTCATGGAACATGATCTTTACTTATTTTTTGTTATAGAAATTATTATTACACTGAATGACGTTGTAATGGGTGTTTTTTGTAAATCATGGTAAAAATGGATGATAGTCATTATATTTTGCTGGACACAAGGACACATTCTAATGTACAGAAAAAAAATGTAACACTTTTATTGTTTTGATGCTTGAAAAGCCCTTTTCGTCTTTGATCCGCATTCTCTGGGAATCTGTCTTCATGTTCATCATTTCTTCAGATTTTGTTGTCATTCAGCATTTGATGCATTTGGCAGATGCTTTATGTTTTATCCAGAGCTGATCATGAGACTAACGCTGTGACAGACTCACATTCAGCGAGGCTCCCCATCAGCGGCGTCCCCACACCGTCTCGAGCGTACCTGCGGTGCAATCACATCATCATCATCATCATCATCATCTCTACAGGAGTTCAGCAGCAAGTATTGTAGAAGGTTTTTATTGATCAAGATGTGAATTATTATCATCAGTGTGGATATAGCCATTTATGCATCAAGAAGTTATTCTACTATTATAATCATGTATTTGCCTGTGTGTCTAGAGGCCTGCACAACAGATTCCAGATTTTCAAATAGTTGTATCTCAACCAAACATTGTCCTATCCTAACAAACCATACATCAATGGAAAGCTTATTTATTGTTGATGTGTAAATCTCAATTTCATAAAATTGACCCTTATTACTGGTTTTGTGCTCCAGGGTCACATTTAATCTCTGTTAGTCTAAGTCTAAGGAGCAAGAGGGTGGAAGACTACTTTGGGCTGGCTTGACAAGCAACACAAACCGTAGCCACTAAAGGTAAGCAGTTTTTGCTTGTATAATTAGTTTGTGTTGTTCACCAGAGACTGCTCGTGGTGGTAAAGACATTCCTCCAAATTTAAAGAACATGAAGAAAAAAAGGGGTTTTGAGTCCAGAAGAAGTAGCTGCATGCAATGATCTGTGTTTATTGTTATAAGTGGGCCTTGAGGATAGCAATAATCATTAAGCAGATAAAGTATAGGTAAGCTGCAAGTGTCTGACCGGGCCGTGTGGATGTAGTTGAGCAGCACTGATGTTCCCTGCAGCAGAAGCGCGGTGGATAACACCTTCAGCACCGTGTGCATGGGTCCAGCTTTGCTCAGCGCCTGCCACAGCGGCTGTATGTAGATACACGACGCCACGAAATACGCCAGGATCAGGATGAAGTAAAAGCTGTGGAGACCTGCGAGGAACACATTCATTCAAGTCAACTCACCTCTATTTATAAAGCGCTTTTAACAATACAGACTGTGCCAAAGCAGCTTTACAGCATTAAATGTGACCCCGGAAGTGTTTTTGAATGAATCTCTTGAATGAATGATTCAATGACTCACTCAAGATTTACCTGATTCATTACTGGATGATTCAGTGTTTTTGAATGAATCTCTTGAATGAACGTTTCAATGACTCACTCAAGATTCACTTGATTCATTACAGGATGAATCAGTGCTTTTGAATGATTGATTCAAAGACAAATACATTTTTAACAGCCCCCTTTTGCCACAAGTATCCGATTCTGGAATTGGAATTTATTTTCTATTCCCAGCCCTACAAACGTCCTGATAAGAAGCTAAGCGGCTGCGTGACGTGTCTGTGCATGCCCAGTCTGGGGTCAAAGTTCACACATGTCATGTAGAAATGACATGTCACACTGAAGATAACCTGTAAAAGCCGAAGGATGTTTCATTACTGGATGATTCAGTGTTTTTGAATGAATGATTCAAAGACAAATACATTTTTAACAGCCGCTTTTTGCCACAAGTATCCGATTCTGGAATTGGAATTTATTTTCTATTCCCAACCCTACAAACGTCCTGATAGGAAGCCAAGCGGCTGCATGACGTGTCTGTGCATGCCCAGTCTGGGGTCAAAGTTCACACGTGTCATGTAGAAATGACATGTCACACTGAAGATAACCTGTAAAAGCCGTCTGAGACGTGAAGGAGTCTTACTGGAGATGTGAGCCGATGTGAGTCTCTCCAGACAGCTCAGATTGTCCAAGCCCTCCGAGCCCTGAAACAGCAGCAGTCTGGCCTCCTTCTGCACGGCCAGCAGCACATTATCCACACGATACGCCACCAGACCATTCTCACCTATCAAATATCATAATGCATATGTACAGTAAGTCACCCATATGATCAGTCACAACATCAGCAATATTCCTGCATTCTGCATGTGAGCAAAAAAAACAAAAATGCATGGAAGCAAATGCAAATGCATGATGTCAATGCATAAATGCAGTTTAATATCAGACACTCACCATGATACAGAAATCTTGTGATGTACTGCCCATTATTTTCTCTCGCGGCGTCGCTCCTAAAAACCCCAGAAACCGTTTTCCCTGCTGCAGGACATGAAGTAAACAAAAGAACAATGATAATGATAAAGTACACAAACATTATGCTCTTATGCTCTTCATTCACTGCAGTCAATGAGGTAATACTGTCCTTTTCCGCCCACTTTGTGATCGACGTCTGCTACATCCAATCGGAATACGGGTTTTCATTCTAGCGCAGTAAAGCGACCAATGAGAGCGCGGCGGAGGCGGGGCGAGAGTCGGCTCATACGTGTCAGCGCTGCCGCAAACCGCTGCTCCAACTGTCGTGAGGAGTGTTTACGAAGCGACTTAAAATCATGTAATAACTTCTTGGAGTCAAAGAAATGAAGGCAACATGGAGTTCCAGCTGAAGATGAGCGGCAGAGAGTGTCGCACCGTGCTGGTGACCGGAGGAGCGGGGTTTATGTGAGTGTCAAAACATATCAAAACGCATCTGAACCCTTCAAATGACCGACTGTCACCGCTTTAGACAACCGAGTATCAAATTAAGGGTCATTTATTGTGAAAAACATTTGACGGAAGTCTGAGATGCTGAATCAATAGATGTAGTGTTTCGGCTTTGTCCCAATACACACACTTGCGCACTTGTCTACTAGCATGACAGACGCAGTTCACTAACAGCACAGTTACTGAGCTGGACTGAATAATGGCAGCTCGTTTTCAGGGGAAGTTGCTGAAGGAAGGTCGATTTGTTCGCCGTGATGTCATTGCGCGATGACGTCACCACGCAACCCCGACGCAAAAAAAATATTTTATATATATATGTTAATTTTTTTTTTAAACATTGAAGTTTTGAACACCTACACAGATTTCAAGAGCTAGTAAACTCCTACGCATTCTCAACAGTGATGCTTTAAGCAGAGTATTAGTAGTTAGTTAGTATGCTACACTCAAGTCTGTGAATATAGCGCACAATCTACTTTAGTAATATGAAAGAATTTTACGTTTTGGAAAATGTTACCTGCATTTTAAATTACGCGTTGTGTTTTCAGGTCACTAAAATTACTAGTATCTTTTCCATTTTACTTGCAGTGTACTAACTGATCAACAATCGCAGGTACAAGCTACTAACAAAGTGCATCATAAATGAACAATTATTACAATGTTATTAAATGTAACAACTGGGTTCACGTGATGTGTTTACTGCGAGGCATCTTTTTGTGTGATTTGGATGGAAATGTGTCTTTTTATTGTCTGAGTCACTTATCAAAAGTTGCCAAATACATTTTAAAAATTGCTACATTTGTTGCTAGGTGCTTTTGGAAGAAACAGTTGCTAGGGTAGTCTGAGAAGTTGCTACATTTAGCAACAAAATTGCTAAGTTGGCAACACTGGTTGTCTTGTGTGGAGCTGCTGTACTGATGAAGTTACTAGTGTGCTTTCACTTACTCAAGTGGTGAAGAGCGCAGTGTGAGTATATTGGGACAGACCCGGAGGGTGATGTTGATAGCAAACTGCTGCGCCTGAAATCACATACTTCACATAGTATACAGTAGGCATAAAGTAGTATGAGAACATACTATCATCATAATCAGTGTTGGGGGCAACACGTTACAGGTTACGTAATCAGATTACTTTTTCAAGTAACTAGTAAAGTAACGCATTACTGTTTAAATTTAGAAGGAAATATCGGAGTTACTTTTTGAGATCAGAAGCAGCAGTTACTTAGTTTCCATGTGTTGAGTGACAGCTCTGGTGTTGCCATGGAGACAGAAATCAGGAGTCAGTGCAGAGCGTTGTGTGTGAACATGATCTTACTGTAGCTCTAGACTCAATATCAACATGTGTTACAGTTTAACAAAGAGCGCAGTGTGAGTATATTGGGACAGACCCGGAGGGTGATGTTGATAGCAAACTGCTGCGCCTGAAATCACATACTTCACATAGTATACAGTAGGCATAAAGTAGTATGAGAACATACTATCATCATAATCAGTGTTGGGGGCAACACGTTACAGGTTACGTAATCAGATTACTTTTTCAAGTAACTAGTAAAGTAACGCATTGCTGTTTAAATTTAGAAGGAAATATCGGAGTTACTTTTTGAGATCAGTAACATAGTTACTTTGTTTCCATGTGTTGAGTGACAGCTCTGGTGTTGCCATGGAGACAGAAATCAGGAGTCAGTGCAGAGCGTTGTGTGTGAACATGATCTTACTGTAGCTCTAGACTCAATATCAACATGTGTTACAGTTTAACAGATATTCACATAGAAAACAGTTGTTTTAAATAATATATTTCACAATTTTGCTACTTTTGCTGCACTTCGGATCAAATAAATGCAGGCTTGGTGTTTGGTAAAAAAACATTACACAATTTTACTGTTCAAAAACTGGTGGTGCATGTAGAATTACTTATTCAACAGAAGTAGCTACTCGGAGAGTATGTGGTTTTGCTGATTCAAACACGCCGAGTATCCAAATACTTATTTGTGTGTGTGTGCTGTATAATGAGCTTATATTTGTGTTCTCAGTGGATCTCATTTGATCAGCGCTCTGGCCGTCAGATTCCCACACTGGAGAATCCTCACCGTTGATAATGTGAGTCTCTGAGCAGCATTGAGTCAGTGTTTTCCCTTCATGAAGCGTCACGCGTCACACTGTCCTGTGTTTCAGCTGCAGTACTGCTCCAGTCTGAAGAACCTGCGCTCTGTGGAGGCCAGCAGCAAATACACCTTCATCCCGGTATTACTCCATTACTTCAGTCAAAGTACAGATACTATAGATACAATATTGTCTAATATATATCACAATATTGACTTTCTGCTTATTAGTATGATTGAAGTGAATCATCGAAGATCAGTAGCAAACACATTGTTAATAAAATGGGATTCAATTCTTATTTAACGTATTTAATTATTGCAGGTTTGCATATACAATGTTTGTATTGATTGTGAGGAGCACTGAATGTGTTTGTGTGCAGTGAGATGAGTAAACACATGTTGATATTGAGTCTAGAGCTACAGTAAGATCATGTTCACACACAACGCTCTGCACTGACTCCTGATTTCTGTCTCCATGGCAACACCAGAGCTGTCACTCAACACATGGAAACAAAGTAACTTGTGATACTTATCTGAAAAAGTAACTCAGATATTTCCTTCTAAATTAAAAAGTAATGCGTTACTTTACTAGTTACTTGAAAAATGTAATCTGATTACGTAACACAACACTGGTAACGACTTTCTTCTTCCGGGACCTTGATAGAAATGTAGTGGAGTGAAAAGTAAGATATTTGCCTTTCAGATGTAGTGAAGTTAAAGTCATAAGTTGCCAGAAAGAAATTATACTCAAGTAACGTACAGATACTCAAAAAGTACAATACTCAAGTAAATTACATTTAGGTGCAACTAACCTAATTATCACTGCAGTTATGTCGAGCTGAGCCACAGCTGATGAACTGTGTTCTCCTCGCAGGGAGATGTTTGCGACCCATTTCTCATAAAGCGTCTCTTTGCGACGGAGAAGATTGATATAGTGTTTCACTGCGCTGCTGAAACTCATGTAGGTGAGTAAACGCTGTCCGTTCATCGTCAACTCTGTGTTTCTCTCTAGAAGACGGCGTGTCTCATTCACGTGTTTATCTCATGTAGAGAACTCGTTCCTGTGTCCGTCACGCTTCATGCGTGTGAAGAACAATGCATTTTATATCTCATAATTTTTCTGAATTCTGAGTTTGCATCTGACAGTAGTTTTTTTTTTCTGGCATGGAATAAAAAATATAAAAGGTAATTGCAACTTTTTATCTCACAATTCTGACTTTTTCGCAGAATTGAAAGTTTATCTCGCTATTCTGAGTTTATATCTAAAAAGAAAATCTGAATTGTGAGATATAAACTCAATCAAAAAAAGTCAGAAGTGATATAAAATTGTGAGATAAGTCACTATTACTTTATTTTTTTTTATCCTGTGGAAACAAGCTTCCATAAGTACTGCTCATACTTCCATAATGTATAAACACTTTCAAATTGAAGGGCATATCATTGATTTGTTGGTAAATGTTGTGAAATTATCTAGATTGTATTTTCTCTGATCTGTCCGCTGTAGTTTCCTGTTCTGATCACGAGGAGCAGTAACGTCTATGGCCCACACCAGCATCACGAGAAGGTGCGTGATCAGCAGCTCTACACACATGTTTGACTGTCACATGACCTCATTACCGTCACATGACCTCAGCGCTTCATTAGTGTGTGTTTGTGTTTGTTCAGGTCATTCCCAGATTCCTGTCGCTCATCCAGCAGGATCAGAAGTGGTGAGTGTCTCTGACTGACCAGAGCTTTACTTTCAGTGTTTTGTAATTCCCATTATTTTTAGTGCTAATTCTCATTAGATTATACATGACTATAATGTGGTAAGAACAATGCATTTTATATCTCATAATTTTTCTGAATTCTGAGTTTGCATCTGACAGTAGTTTTTTTTTTCTGGCATGGAATAAAAAATATAAAAGGTAATTGCAACTTTTTATCTCACAATTCTGACTTTTTCGCAGAATTGAAAGTTTATCTCGCTATTCTGAGTTTATATCTAAAAAGAAAATCTGAATTGTGAGATATAAACTCAATCAAAAAGAGTCTGAATTGTGAGCTATAATTATTACATATAAACATAAATAATTACAAGATATAAACTGTGATATAAAATTGTGAGATAAGTCACTATTACTTTATTTTTTTGTCCTGTGGAAACAAGCTTCCATAAGTACTGCTCATACTTCCATAATGTATAAACACTTTCAAATTGAAGGGCATATCATTGATTTGTTGGTAAATGTTGTGAAATGATCCAGATTGTATTTTCTCTGATCTGTCCGCTGTAGTTTCCTGTTCTGATCACGAGGAGCAGTAACGTCTATGGCCCACACCAGCATCACGAGAAGGTGCGTGATCAGCAGCTCTACACGCGTGTTTGACTGTCACATGACCTCATTACCGTCATATGACCTCAGCGCTTCATTAGTGTGTGTTTGTGTTTGTTCAGGTCATTCCCAGATTCCTGTCGCTCATCCAGCAGGATCAGAAGTGGTGAGTGTCTCTGACTGACCAGAGCGCATGTGTGTGTGTGTGTGTGTGTGTGTGTGTGTGTGTGTGTGCGGGTGGTGTGAGTGTCGTGTCAAGCCAAGTCACCTTTATTTATAAAGCGCTTTTAACAGTACAGATTGTGTCAAAGCAGCTTTACAGCATTAAATAGGAAAATAGTGTGTCAAAAGTGCAAAAGGACAATAGTAAACACTCAATTGTCAGTTAAAGGCAGTTCATCATTGATTTAGTGATGTCATCGTCCAGCTCAGCTCAGGTTAAATAGTCTCTGTGCGATCAAGTCGACAATATCGCTGGATATTAAGTGTCCCCAACTAAGCAAGCCAGAGGAACCAAAACTCCATCGCTGTTGAATATTAGAAATGTGTTAGTGTGTTATTTGTAAGCCAGGTTAAAGAGATGGGTCTTTAATCTAGATTTAAACTGCAAGAGTGTGTCTGCCTCCCGAACAATGTTAGGTAGATTATTCCAGAGTTTGGGCGCTAAATAGGAGAAGGATCTGCCGCCCGCAGTTGATTATGATATTCTATTCTATTCTATTATCAAATGGCCAGAGTTTTGATAGCGCAGAAGACGTGAGGACTATAATACAATAAGAGCTCACTCAAATACTGAGGTGCTAAACCATTCAGGGCTTTATAAGTAATAAGCAAGATTTTTAAATCTATAGGATGTTTAATAGGGAGCCAGTGCAGTGTTGACAGAACCGGGCTACTATGCTCATACTTCCTGGTTCTAGTAAGAACTCTAGCTGCTGCATTTTGGACCCGCTGGAGTTTGTTTATTAAGCGTGCAGAACAACCACCCAATAAAGCATTCCAATAATCTAACCTTGAGGTCATAAACGCATTAATTAACATTTCTGCATTTGACATTGAGAGCATAGGTCGTAATTTAGATATAATTTTGAGATAGAAAAATGCAGTTTTACAAATGCTAGAAATGTGGCTTTCGAAGGAAAGATTGCTATCAAATAGCACACCTATTGCTAACTGATGATGAAGAATTGACAGAGCAGCCATCAAGTCTTAGACAGTGTTCTAGGTTATTACATGCAGAGTTTTTAGGTCCTATAATTAACACCTCTGTTTTTTCAGAATTTAGCAGTAAGAAAATAATCGTCATCCAGTTTTTTATATCGAATATGCATTCTGTTAGTTTTTCAAACTGGTATGTTTTGCCGGGCCGCGAATAAATATAGAGCTGAGTATCATCAGCATAACAGTGAAAGCTAACACCGTGTTTCCTGATGATATCTCCCAAGGGTAACATGTAAAGCGTGAAGAGTAACGACCCTAGTACTGAGCCTTGAGGTACTCCATACTGCACTTGTGATCGATATGATACCTCTTCATTCACTGCTACGAATTGATGGCGGTCAGATAAGTACGATTTGAACCATGCTAATGCACTTCCACTAATGCCAACAAAGTTTTCTAGTCTATTCAAAAGAATGTTGTGGTCAATAGTGTCGAACGCAGTGCTAAGATCCAGCAGCACTAATAGAGAGATACAACCACGGAGCAGAGCAGGTCATTTGTAACTAATGAGAGCAGTCTCAGTACTATGATACGGTCTTAATCCTGACTGGAAATCCTCACAGATACCATTTTTCTCTAAGAAGGAACATAGTTGTGATGATACTACCTTCTCTAGTATCTTTGACAGAAAAGGGAGATTCGAGATTGGTCTGTAATTAACTAGTTATTTGAGGTCAAGTGAGTGTGTGTGAGTGAGTGAGAGAGTATGTGTGTGCGTGTGAGTGTGTGTGTGTGTGAGTAAGTGAGTGAGTGTGTGTGTGTGTGTGTGAGTGAGTATGTGTGTGTGTGTGTGTGTGAGTGTGAGTGCGTATGTGTGTGTGTTTGTACGTGCGTGAGTGTGCGTGTGAGTGAGTGAGTATGTGTGTGTGAGTGAGTATGTGTGTGAGTTTGTACGTGCGTGTGAGTGAGTGAGTGAGTATGTGTGTGTGTGTGTGTGTGTGTGCGTGTGAGTGAGTATGTGTGTGTGAGTTTGTACGTGGGTGAGTGTGCGTGTGAGTGAGTGAGTGTGTGTGTGTGTGTGCGAGTATGTGTGTGCGAGTATGTGTGAGTGAGTATGTGTGTGTGAGTTTGTATGTGCATGTGAGTGAGTGAGTATGTGTGAGTGTGTGTGTGTGAGTATGAGTGAGTATGTGTGTGTGAGTTTGTATGTGCGTGTGAGTGAGTGTATGTGTGAGTGTGTGTGTGTGTGTGTGAGTGTGTGTGTGTGTGTGTGAGTTTGTACGTGCGTGTGAGTGAGTGTGTGTGTGTGTGTGTGTGAGTGAGTGAGTGAGTGAGTGCGTGTGTGTGTGAGTGAGTGAGTGCATGTGTGTGTGTGTGTTTGTACACGTGTGTGTGTGTGTGAGTGAGTGAGTATGTGTGAGTGAGTGAATATGTGTGAGTGTGTGTATGTGAGTTTGTGCGTGTGTGTGTGTGAGTTTGTGCGTGTGTGTGTGTGTGTGTGAGTTTGTGCGTGTGTGTGTGTGTGTGTGTGAGTATGTGTGTGTGTGTTCAGCTGCTCTATTGTGTGTGTCTGCTGTCTCCAGCACTATCCAGGGCTCAGGCCTGCAGTCCAGACACTTCCTGTATGTCAGCGACGTCACAGACGCCTTCCTGACACTCATGGAGAAGGGCATTCTGGGAGAGATCTACAACATCGGGAGCAGCTTTGAGATTCCCATCATTCAGCTCGCCAGAGAACTAGTGAAGGTGGTAGGAGTCACATGACCAGCTCAGTGTTAGATTAACCGTTCATAATCAGAGTATTTCACAATCAACTGTTTCCTGTCGACAGAAAGTGAAGGATGTCCCCGAGGAAGCGCTGGTGGACTGGATAGAGTTTGTTGAGGACCGGTGTGTGATGAATGTGTGCTGTCATACTGTATGTTTGAGATTGATATTAATAAATGAATGTTCATAACATTTCTGCAGTCCCGTGACGGAGCTCCGGTATCCCATGATATCAGACAAACTGCACAAACTCGGCTGGAGACCCAAAGTAACCTGGAAGGAAGGAATCAGACGGACCAGTAAGAGATTCCAGATGATTCTGTGAGTGATGATGATGATGAAGAAGAATATGACGTGTGTCTCTGTTGTTTGCAGTACAGTGGTATGAAGAGAATCCAAACTACTGGCCGTCGATCAGTGAGAATGAAGAGGAATCGCCAGCGTCGTGTGATCAGACGCCGTCACATGCTGTGCCTTATCACGTCAGATAATGACGTTTATTAACTGATTTATACAGTATCTATGCAAGATTGTCCAGCAGCTCCTAAATAAAGTGCTACTCGGTGAATGTGATGGAGGATTGTTAGAGACTTTATACTCTAAACATCATCATAAAATGCCACAGGATTAAAGAGGACCAAAAGATATTTTAATGGAAACTGTATGTCTTAAACTGACACAAGCTCAGTTGTTTTGACTGATTTCAGTATTTGATTATGAAAACTCTTCATTTGTACGATTGTTTCTGATCATTTTTATGTTTTAATAAAACAGTTTACAAACATGCTTGTGATAAAGTTCTGTTGTTAATGCGCTGCATGAGATGAGACTTTGGATCTTCGGTCTAATGCAATACAGAAATTTCAAAGTTAAGGCATGACCATTGGTCAGCAAAAGGCTCATTGGGTCAGCGGGGTCAGAAAAAACTGATGGAGAAGAAAAGAGCATGTTAACTGCAAAATAATGAATAATTAATGTGAGGAATTAAGTGTGAAACCATCAGGAACCTTGTAGTCTCCAGTGCCACTATTTTACTGCAACCTTGAGTCTCCAGAATTGCAAGGTGTCAGGTTCTCAGAGACTTTTCTTGGGTAAAAAATCCTAAAAAATTACCCTCACTTAATAAGAAGAACATTCTGAAGTGTTGTGAAATACATGAAGACTATTTGT